AGAGAGAGAGAGAGACGTTTTAGGCCGCTCGGAACTATTCTCTCTCGTAATCATTTACTTCTAAATAAAGAAATGTGGTCTTATTTTCCAGGTGACAAAGACAGACATAGACCTCCTGGAGGACCTGGTACGAGACGCGGGGAGGATGCTGGACTTTCAGGAAGGTTTGAAGGAGTTTAAGCGGGAGAGTCGGTACGAAAGCATCGAACCCTCCCCGGAGAGAAACGCACACGCCATAGCGGACAAGCTGGAAAAATTATTACATAACGGTAGGTTTGATACATTTGTGAGCGGTATGCTAATTTTTTATACTGTTCCACCTATACCTTTCTTTCTCTTTTTTCTTTTTTTGATATGTCTTATAGGATCAGCTACAGCAATTTTCAAGTAAAAGTACAGGACAATGTCTAGAATTTGAGTATGAGAGTGATTCCTTTCTGGAGTCACGTATTGGAACATCAGTAATCACCATTGCTTAACGGTGGTTGATTGAGATAATTGGTTTGCTATCTTATCTATCCAAAACAAGGCCAAGAAACAGATGTTGAGTCAATACAACGGAAGGCTAACTCCGAGGACAGTCTTGACAACCACCTGTTCCACCCTCATGCACACCTCACAGTTTTCCGCTAGGGGTCGCTGTTAGACGGGAAGAAAATGTTTTTCTGACATCGGTTGTTCTTTCTCAAAGCAATCATGTTCACAATACAAAAGTTATAACGATATAAGACGAAAAGACGGAGTGTTGAATTCACATGTATTTCATTTTCTGTTTGTTTGTTTGTTTGTTCTCTTTATTTATTTATTTCTTCTTCTCTCAACAGATAAGTCCAAAGAGAGCAGTGGCGTTCTGGCCTTCCTGCAGCACTATGGGAAGGCGAAAGGCTTCGGTCGCGAACGGCTTCATGTGGTCAAGAGCGACATTTGTTCCATGTTGGGCATCAAACGTTCACAGGTAACTCAAATTCCTTCGAATCATCTTTTTATTATGTGCTTAGGCCACAACAAGTAAATTTTATGGATGACATCCTCTGCCGACTCCAAATCCAATGCGAGCGGGCGAAAAAAAACAAGGCAGGCGGAAAAAAACAAGGTTCCTACATTTTAAAATAATGTTGACTCAATTATTGTACAAATGGTTTTTATTCAATGCGAACATCATATACACAGCCAGCATTACATATCACTGCATCAAAGTAAGAAACAAAACATTAAATCAGAGCCTTTTCTTGTCTCCTCTCTTCAGTTATCTGCCTCCCGGCATGGCAACAGACATCTTTGCCCATTTTCGGCATGTTGACCACTGTCAGAAGGCAACAAAATTTCTTTTTTTTTCAAAATCAGGCGAAAATTAATGCGCGCGCGGATGTCATCCATAAAAATTACTTGCTGTGGCCTTATGTACTGTCCTCCTCCATGTACTGTCCTCCTCCAAAATTACCAGCTGGGATCTCTATGTAACACCAACAATGTCTCCCCAACAGTTCATCTTCATAACGAAGTACCAGGAGGAGAAGAAGGAGGAGGGGTACGTGTGTATCTACCAGCTTCCCGCCAACAGAGCCAGGAAACTCATCGCCATGACCAAGTCAAACGACGACAGACTTTTAGGTGAGCTGTGTTTAAAATGCCATGAGTAATCTCCAAGCAGATAATGGTGAGGAAGATTGAAACGCTTTCTGACTGTTGGGCTTATCAAAATACATGTACAATTATTTGTCTTCATGTCAGAACCATTAGGCCATGTTGACTTGATTATATGGATGACATCCTCCGGGAGCCCCAAAACTGATGCGCGCGTGCGAATAAAAAAAAAGTTTTGCAAAAAAAAAAGTAGTTTTCATTATGAAATCTACGTGGTCATGAGGGTTGAACAAATGGGACAGAATATGGTTTGGCGAATAATCTAATCTTCAAGTTCATTTCCTTACAATTTCGTCTTTTTTCGTTTGATTTTGGCATTCTACGACATTGGTATAGTTTTTACTTATTTTTTTGTAACTTACGGTATATTTTTGCTCATTTTGCAACTGTTTTGTACGATTTACAGTATGGTTGAAAACATTTTTTTTTGGAAACGGCCGAAAATTCATGCGCGCGCGGATGTCATCCATATAATCAAATCAACATGGCCTTAAAATGTATTTTTTCTTAGACAGTCATATTGTGTAAATCGTAAACAACGCCTGGAGTTATCCATGTGTAACGAAAGCTTCTGTTGATGATGAAGACACACTGTGACTGTACATGGTGCTGAAAGCTTTTCTGTTTGTAGGTTTACACGTAGCAGCTTAGGAAATATTATAAATTCTCAGATTAATATCATTGATACACATTTTATTTGTTTCATAATGTCATGTCCACCCTAAAATCTTCTCTGTCGTTGTCTCTGTTTTCAGGTCTTGGACTGAGAGCTGTGAGACTGACGGGACACAGACGGGTCCCTCTCTCCATGCCGTTTAAAGAGGAGGAGCTCTACAAAAGGACCTTCAAAAAGATGGAGGAACTCTCCAAACTTTACGACCAGCCCATCTCCGCCCTCGAGTCGGGCATCCTCGGAAACCAGCTGGCGAAGCTGGCGGAGAAGCACGAGAAGGAGAAGACCGAAGTGACGCCGACGCCGACCAAAGACGAGAGGCCACGACTGCCGCCGATCTCGCTTCCTCCGGCCCCGCGGAAACCCACCATCAGCACCAGCCTGCCGGTGAACCACCTCCACGATGAGAACAAAAGACTTCTCCTACAGACACACTCTCTACAGGAGAGCCTGGTCAGTCAAAAGCTCGAGTTGGCCAGGAAGACAGAACAGGTGAGGGAGAAGGACTTACAAATGGCTCACCTGGAAAGACAAGTGTCGATGTACGAGCAACAGAACACAAACTTGCACAAGCAGGGACTCACGATGGCGAGGAAACTACAAGACATGAGGAAGCAGGCCTTGATGTTGGAGCAGAAAGTCAAGGAGTTCCAGATTAAGAACGACCTGTACAGAACCGCGGCGCGCACCAAGATGCGCTTCGGTAATCAGATGTCATTGGCTAGAAGGGCGATCCCACAAGTCCGTGCGGTACGGCCCAGGGACGTCCTGAACTGAGTGTGTTTTGTGATGTTGAAAAGAAGAGAAAACAGGGTTACAAAACGGGAAAAGAAACAGTATTTTATCTGAAAATGACAAATCTTTGTTACATGACAGTCAAACCTGTACCAGTTACAGTCTGGCATGTGTTCACCTGTTTATAGTAATCACCTGTATACTGCTTCAACTTTCCTCAAGTTCCTTGGGTTCTCACAACCAACATTTTGACTGTATTTTCCTTTTCAAATAATGGTCAACTTCAAATGTATAGGGTGACGGAATGACTTTAATAATCCATGTATATATACATTAATGTTTGCCAGAACAAGCCAGGCTGGCCTTTTAATTCACAAAATACACTCACGACGCAAAGTTTCCTTTAGTTTTCTACTTTTACACAGTCGTTAAATGTTGCGGTCGTTTCAGGTCCGGTTCAAGTGGGGTTGACGGCATGAAGTAACAGAGTGGTGTTGTTAAAGATATCCAATATTGCCATATACATATCATGTACAAAGACTTTTATTTCCTCTCTTATATACATGCCATGCATGCAATGGTTTCAATGTCAATCATTATGATTTGTATGTTACACGTACTAATTAGGACATCGAAGCGCGTTGTAATAAAAAAAGGACTGAAATCATTGTGATATATCAGTCTAATGTATTATCAGTGTGACTTTCTACAAGTACATGTGTTTTTTTTTCATTCAGTCTATTTGGTGGGACTTCTTTTAATTTGTTTTAATTACCCTTGTACAGAAGTCATAAAAACCTATAATGTAGGTAGTTGATAACTTTTTGGGGGGTGATAAATGATAAGTAGGAAGAACACAAAACGTTAGACAAGTAACCCACACAGAGCTGCTTTAAATTGAGGAGTTATATGGTCCAGTATAAAAAGGGCTTGGAGTGGTGCACTACTTCTACGAGACGCTAGATGACGCGCCTCACCATGAAGATAACTTACGGCAAAATGTACTGCCAAAACACATGACTCCACTTGTGAAGTGTCTGCAAACTGTCATGATTGAACAAATTCATTCTGCAATAACAGGTTTGGACTTGTTTGAGTTATTTCTAGTTCTAGTATTCAGATCATTAACACGGACCAAATTATCCTAAGCAGACGGCACACATTAACGCCATTCAAACATCACATGAAGACTTTTCACTCTTGAACTTCAGACTTCGTTTTCTAACTTGTTGCTGTACAGAATCAGAAAGTTTTCTGACAGCAACAATCACATAATCCGGCAGTTTATTTCGGCAAAGGCAACCCGTTTGATCAGCTTGATATTGTTGTGACTTGTGTTTGTGACTTGTTGTTTGTGTTTACCAGTTTACGCCCACAATTCCCCGCGCGGGATTGTCCCCTCCCAACCGCAAACCCAGAACGAGGCTCCGAGCGGAAAGTCTCAACTTCAGAGTTTGGAGCTGTTTTTTTGAACGATCGGAAGAACGCGACTGTCCCGTGCAAGAAAGCAGCAACTTTCCAAGAAGGTAAATCTGTATAAAACTTTTCTCCGTTAGCTTAGGGCTCGGCGGTGCTGTTGATTCACTCACAGCTGTCGTAGCGAGCGTGGCTGAGTTCGCAGGCGACCCCGGAAGTGTACGGATCGATTGTTTACATTGGAAGTAGACTCTGGCGACCTCGGGGTTTAGTTCAGTTCTCAGGAGTGCGATCCCGAACTATCCATCACCATCGGGGCAGATTTTACCTCCGATTTGGCGTCGTACTTCTTGTTTAAACGCACCCGGCTTCCTACCAGCTTCCTCTGACCGTATTTCGTCCCGGCCATGCGTAGATCGCGCGATAATCCGGACCTAAGGCGCGCGTAAAGCCCGGGAGAGTGAGTAGCCGGAGTGAGTGTACGTACGTAGTGGGGCCCGACTTGACAATGAGTTTTCACACGTGAGCTGGCCGGGACGCGATGCGGGGCGGCCACTTCCAGCGGCAGGCTCACCAACTCCACACAACTCCCACCGGACACTGCACGATCGGCAGGGTTTGATACTCCAGCCTCCAGGAGACCTGGGTACCAGCCTTGAGACTGATTGGCTGTGCTGATTGTCTGCTCAGTTCTTAGAGGTTGTCAGCTGGTATTAGTGCTGCATTCTGCTCCAGACTTGTTGCCTGCAGGCCAGGACTGCAGCAGGCAGGCATGGAGAACCCCAGCTTCATCCCCACCCAGCTCACGACCCCTGCCCTCATGGTGCTGGCGTCCACCGCCGAGGCGGCCAGAGACACGTCCAGCCTCCCTCCGCAGCAGACGGGCGGCTTCACGCCGCAGGGCACACCTGGGCTGGACAAGGAAGGACACGTGCCTTTCTCCACCGCGTCCTTCTCTCTCCCCACCATGTACCCTCGCCAGGCAGGGGCAGACGGGTCCTTCCCCAACCGAGAGTTCATCCCCTCCGTGCTGCATCTTCACCCGCACTTCGCGGGAACCCACCTGGAGAGGAGCGGGCTCGCCATGCTGAACTCCACGGGAAGCGGGGCCTTCCGTCCCTTCAGCATCAGCGAGGACAGGGACGGCATGTACCAGTCGGCGTTCACGCCGGCCAAGAGACTCAAAAGTAGTCAAGAAAGTGACTTGGTAGCACGATTTCGGGAGGGCGAGCACGGGAGCTCGCCACGAGAACTGTCGGAGAACCACCGCTCTCCGGCCTCGTTGGTGAAACACGAGCAGGGAGAAGACGGTCTGCACCGAGGATCTCCCAGCAGCTCGGCCTTCAGCATCCATCCCGGGGGCAAGCTGGACCGAGACACCATCAGCCCTGCGTCTTCAGAAGAGGGTCGTACGTTGAGAACAAGTAAGTGTTTTCCCCGTACTAGTCTTAACTCGCGTAATTAACATTCAGTTAATGATTTCTTGTTTTCTTTCCTAAGAACATACTGACCATGACTGCATTGTAGGCTTGCTTCATTTTGTAAAGTTAATGTTGGGTAAATTTGTCCCCGGGACCATCTGTTAAAGTTTCTGGTTCACTTCTGTATTTTTTCAAGTGGTGAAATCAGCCATTAGAAACTATTTTTAACCAACAGTATTTCAACATTAGTGTCAGAAGAATTGTTTTGTGGCGCTCTCAAGTTCAACTTTTTTGTGGCTGTGAAATGGCGTGTCTTTTATTGTCGTCGGCAAAATGGCGTGGCTTTTTTCACCTGCCAAACAATGGTAGCATATGTTTTCACTATGTTATCATTGGCAATGGGTGTAGCAAGCACTTATTCAGAAAGAACCAACGTGCATGGTCCCTTGTTATTGTGGCGTGAGCCAGCCCACTTTTTTTCCCTACTGAAACAGCTTTTCTTGTTTTCTGGTTAACTGGTAACGTTTTTGTATTGTGAATAGAGCCGCAAGAGTCGTGACAAGGAAAGTGGTATTGAACAATAATGTGGACATGTTTGAAGTGGCAGCACGTTGCCACTGTTGACACATATTCTTGACAGTGTGTATTGTTGTGTTACTTTACACCTCAGGCCTAACCCCTGACGGTCGATGGCTCGGACTCTCCCCAGGTATAGATGTAGTTACACTGTGACGTGTCATTGTGTAGTTATGTGTGCTAGACCATAGTAGATAGTGAGTTTGAATATGGAAGCTTTTCCTATTTTTTCTGTTACACAGGATTTATAAATAGCATTTGCAATCATTGCACTTCGTATCAAATTTCAAACAAAATTCCTAACCTGCTAGCCTCTATCATTTTATTAATTTTTTTGATTAGAAGAAACAACTTGAAGAAATTACAATACAGCAAGGACCTGTATGAAACTAAAAATAGTAAGACAGATACTGGGTTTGAATCATTTTGAAAAGAATGAAAAGAATATACATAGTTTTTGAGAGAGTCTACTAGTTCTAGAGGAAGCCTATAATGCAACTAGATCAGAAAATCCACATACACAATTTACTTTTATGTATACATTATTTAGGAAGACCTGTGCATGTATGTACATTGCACACACAGCAGTGGCATTTCAATACCTTTTTGTCCAGTCCCTATCGAAATGAGTTTCTGTAATTATGTGCCTATGTGATGTAAAAACAGTCAGTTTGGTCAATTTTACAGCTATAATTCAGATGCAGATTCGATCTTTTTCTCCACTCAAAAGGAGGTACATGTGTCTGTACTGTTAACCAAAACTCTAGCTGTGTGCACCCCGCCTCCTGACATATCGCATGACTGGGAAAATCCCACAGGGTGCAATTGGAAGGGAACGTAAACCTAAACAATCCTGGCAAGAACAAGGAAAATGCCCCCAGGCCACCTGAACCTGTTATCACCTCTATTCTGATACAAATCACCTGGGATGAACTCTTCTAGAAAGGTCAAGTTTCCAAATTTAGACTTTTTTTGTCTGTCTACTACCGGTAGTAACGTTATATGACGTTCAAAACATGTAAGGAAAAGTAGATGAAGTTGTGTTATTTTGGATGAAACATTGGCGTGGAAGAAGAAAAAATGTTGTTCTTACTCTTCTGTTTGTATATGTTGAAATCATGCTTTTTTGTATCACATTTCCCATTTACAAAAATGGTGGTTGTCGAGTCAACTGGTGCCATTGTCCAAATTATTTTGCCTGTCTATTTTTGTTTGTCAAAAACTCGTGAAGTGATGACACTGGTAGTGTGTGCTAAACAATTGTTATAAAAGTTAAAACATGCTAAATGCTTACATGACTTTTTCTTGCCATTTGCAAAAAAGATCATTACATTTTTCCATCCAGCTTCAGATGATGATTTAGAGCAATAGTTTTTAGCCATTTGATACTGCCATGATCAAATACAGTACTGTAAAGGCAAAGAGTTCTGACGATAGAATACAGTTCTTCTTCTATGGTAAGATGTTTGAATTGTACTAGTATGTTCTAACGCAACATGCACAATTTAAAAAACAAAACAAAATCTAGATCTAGTTGTGTGTGTATTAACTGTATTTATTTGAGAAAAAACATAGTTTGTGATCTTGTGTCTCTAGCTACACTGTATTTTGTAGCTATTTTGTACTTTGGAGTTTGGAACTAAGTATAAAAAGCTATTGCAATCTTTTGGTAGTCTTTATTTGTCATTTTCGGCTTGTCTAAGTTTGTGTGTTTTCACACTTTTAATCAAAAGTAGCTTTCTTTCATTTCTTTCCACTGTAGTAACCATTATTGGCATATTTTGGTTGTCCTCTGTGTTAAGTTTCAGGGTATCTTTGTTGAACATTTTTGGTCAGCCATAGCAGCATTCTTATTACATTTCTATTGTCTATACAGGTACCTTACCGTTTGCAATGTAACTTTTCTTTCCAGTTTAAAGATTAAACATCTCCCAAACAATTCCAAACAAGCGGATTTTCTTGTCTGGCTCTAGAAGGAAAGTCACGCTTTGTTGGAAAGGAGAAGAAAAACTTGTTGAACTTTTGATACCTTGCTTCAGCAACAAGTAAACAAATTAGAGAGGTTGACAACAGATTAGGCCGCAAATTACTTGACTGGGTGCAATGAGTACATAAACACTCAGAAATCTGTATCTACCTGTTGTATTCTGCCACTTTGGAGAGATCAAAATCAAAAATTATGACTAAAAAGGGTTGAAATCAGAACTAGTTTTACTACATTTTACTTTCAGATATGTTTTGCATAATAGTGTTTTGAGTGTTTTGAGAAAGAGAATTGAAGCATGGTATTTGTACATGTACTTGTGCAGTAGTTATCTGTATATGGTGATTACATTGTTTAATGACAGGTTCCGTTGCATTAACTGCCATTATGTGATTAGTCGGAATTTGAAGCCCTAGTGTAGATGGATTGCGGGGAAAAATCAGGTCGTAGGACTTTGGGTCATTCTCAATACTTACCATATCTAAGATATGATTTCAGGTTGTATTTGTGGCTAAATTAAAACCTATTCATGTGGAAAGTACATTTAAGGTATTGGATTTTTTCAGGAAACAGGAGTAGCTGTCTGTCCAAGGAAGCTTTTTTTGCCACCAAATCAATTTGGTTACTACTAGTCTAGGTTAGGCAGCAAGGAGAAGGATAAAGCATATTTTTTGTATATTTATATTGTTAACTGGTTGAATGAAGTCAAAACAAAGGTTATACTTAAGTTTTACACTTGTTAATCATTGTAGGATTGAAAAACCAGGTTTGCAGGCATGTAACTCAATGTAAGTTAAGTTTTGTAAATTTTACTAGCCTTTTTAATATGAACTGTTCAACTTAGAAAGTGAACCAACCATGTTTCAATATTTGTATCACTGAGCTGCGAAACAGACAAAACCAATGCCAATCGCTGCAGAAAACTAAACAAACCTGGCAGAGCCAGTTGTCTCGACTGCTCCTTTACCATTCGTTGCCTACCATATGGCAGCCATTGTACGCCAGCGCGCACCGCACTAACTTTCCTTTTGTGCCGCCCAGTTTATGTGCACAATACCCTTTGACTCTCCCGAGCATATGCGAGGAATATTCCTTAATCGAGGAATAAGTAGGACGGCATTGTATCCGGGAACATCCCGTCAAAGGGAGGTGCTTGCTGGTAATTGTTGAAATGGATAACAGCGCCGTGCCTTTATGGCACCCTTGCGAAACAGTACATAAAGCGGAGGTGTTACTTGGGAAGGGAAACATAAATAAGCGGATGTAAATTTGTAGGCCTGACACTGGTAACTGTTCTCTATGGGGTGCTCTTCCCGGCGTGAGTTACGAGAATCCTGTCGGCGGTGATAGAGAAATGGTATACAATCTCCTGCCAGCATTGATATCAGGGAATAAAAAGCGGGCGTAACCTTCGGATAGGTCCTTGCCTACCCTTATTTGCACTGAGTGCTGCGCACGCAGTATTTCATTGCCCCATTTGGCAAGGCACAACCTATTCATTTTCATTATTATCACATAATGTAGTAATTTGTTATGTTATGGTGAAGGTGTCACTCCGTTGAGCCCGCGAGGAATGAAAGCTCCCAGAATATTATTTATAGATTTATCGACAAGTCTTGATATGAATATTACATATGTGGCAACATAATCACCGGCTATGCAGATATTAGTGTCGTGGGGTGGTCTGAAAGTTTTTACCTGGGCGATGTTCCCAGCTCGTTTGAACGTATGGCTTCCCGTCAGAAGAAATGGCCCATGTGGGCTAATTTCTCTACCCAATCTCTTGCAAATTTGTAGAAATTTGCCCTTGTAAAAGAGCATTAGTTGCAAGTGGGAAGCGGGGGGAGATTTCTCACTGCCTTCATTATTTTCCATTCTAAAGTCCATTTGGGTTGCAGGTCGGCTCGTTCCCCATTTCGGAAAGTAACTCGGGCCATTCAATTCCTGTGTCAAATGCGATATTTTGGGGACAAAACGCGGAGTGTAATTATTGTGCAGTAGCGTGTGCAACGCGCCGCCATAACGCGCAAGGTGTCAATGTATTCCCGGCCACGAGGAAATTGCCGGAATGGCCGTCCTGCCAATTTGACATTTCCTGTGTTATTTGTTCTGGACCGGCGGGATGGGAATGACTGGACGTTAACGGGAAAAGTCGAGTGCATTACCGTCATCCCCGCCGTGTAAGAGGCGTGCTTGCGCGCCGGTTAGCGCGGGCTCTCCACCCACCAGACAATTGAAATCCGTGACTTAACGGCTGATTGTATGAACATGAGGGTCAGGAGGGCCGCTGCCCTGTGCCGGGGGAAGTAATTCACTCATACAGATGGCAGCACGGGCATGTGTGTGATGAAATCCTGCCAGACTGAGATCCAATCATGGTCCTCGATATCGACGTGGCGATCCAGAAATCAGGCGGGGTTTGGACCCCCTAACGTGACACCAATACAAGTGGCCAAACGGAAATACAGCCATGTAGTGAGAGAGCTCTTGAGTGGACACACACACACTTTTTCACTATACTTGTACACAAAATCAATGTTGGAAGGTGCCCTTGATCAAAGGGGTTTTCAAATAGATGTGTACATGTAAGTTTTGGAAAGTTATGAAATATACACCTATTTCCCTTTTTTTGTGTCCACTGGTATTTTATTTTGTTAAGGTACAGACAGGAAAAATGATTTTAAAAAAGGTACAGGTGCACCGGATGTTCACATCCAGAACTGTACCTAAATGATGTTACAGGTAGAGGTATTGGGTACACAGCCCTAGAGTCATTTGCCATTTCTGTCTGCATGTAGTTTATATGCCTTTTGGACTCCATTTTCGTGCTTGTGTTTGTCATGTTGAGTATATTTGTGCTGTCACTGATCAACTATGGATTACTGATAAAACTGTAGGAGGTCATTCTACATGTACACCTGCTGCTACAGCAACACCCAGACTTGTAGTTTTGCAATTATTAATGAACGAGAAGGAAAAATATTTTCTTTATAATTAAAAGTTTATTGTCCGTTTTCTTGCACAATCTTTGTATATTTTGGTAACTTCTGTATCCTAACAGTTTTTTTTTTTTACATAACTGGTGTATGTGTTATGCCTTGAGGTGGTTTATTGGTTACACACGAACAATAAAAAGAAGAGGCTGTCCA